TTATATATAGAAATTTTTTTAATGAAAGTATTTTATAAGTTTATTATTTTAATTTTGAATGAAATAGTTAAATATTCAGTACTAAATTATAATTAATCATAATTATTTTTTCGAATACTCATTTTATAATATTTTTATTGTGATAATAAAAGTATTGTTCAGATAATAACTCAATAAAGCTTACATGAATTTTTTTAAAGTTCTTTCGAACAAAAATACTTAAAAATGAATTAATGGCAGAAGGGCAATTTCATAAATTTTAACAAGCCTCAACCCAAAAATAACCATGAATCAAAAACCAATCCAAGTTAGTTTTTAGAATTAAGATAAAATAAATTTTTTGTTATTAGACTAAAAAAAGGGAGATTTAAAAAAAAAAATAAATTAATAGACTGATTAAAACTTGAATCTATTTTTTTATGAATAATTAATTCTAAGATAAAAAATGAAATTAAACAGATTGAAAATAAATTATGTTAAAATATAATTTGTTGATTCATTCAGGCAACAAGGATTTATAAATTTTTTCTACTTTTTCACTTTATTTAGTTAAATCTTCTTCTATTTTATCAGCCTATTAATATTTTAGACATAATTACCTTTTTATTTAATAAATCTAATTATTCTAATTTTTTTTTATCTTCTTAATTTTCATCAGTAATACATTTTGCTTTTTTAATAGGTAACCAACCTAAATCAAGATTTTCCATTTTATTGCTAACAAAAGTTTCATTACCATCATATTCAGTTGGATCTTTAAATTATAAATATGCAAAATAGAAGACATAATTCCACATATGATGTTCATATTTGATATGAAAAGCAAAACCTTTATCACTATCACTTGATTTATCTAATGTTTCCATATCAAAACCACAAACAAAACATTTAAATTCCATGTCTTTATTTTTTTCAGCTAAATCTTCTCTTAAAGATGAAAATGTATCAATAATAATACCTTAAATCATGTTTAATAATATAAACACAAGCATTATATTAAATAAATTGTCAAAAAAGAATCTTTCATAATAGATTGCTGTTTAATTAGCATTGACATAATCATATGAAGCATCTTCATCACCTTATAAAACAGCTTATTATTATAATTCTTCTAAAGTAGCAGGATCTTCTAAATGAGCTCCAATAGATCCAGTAAATTTAAATGTCCAATCAAATGTTGTAATTAAACATCTCCAAAATTCATTACAATATTCCTATCCTGAATCTCCTGATGCAGGATATTAATTATAAAATACTATCCAGGCTAAAATATTAAAATAATATTCAATAATAATTAATAACATTAAAGCTAAACCTAATTCTACTTTTGGCTTCCAAATTGCTTAAACAACAGTTTTTAATTAATCTAATTTTAAAAAATCCATCAAATGAACACAAAAAAAGAAAGGATGAGCAGCTAATCCAACTATTCCTGCTAATATATAAGCTGAATAATATAGAATTTCAAAATCTTATAATAGTACAAATATTGAAACTAAAGAATTTTTTATTAATCTAATTATTATTTTAAAAAATCCTTATGTACTAAAAAATCCTACCCAAATATGATATATTTTTAAAGGTGCTCTCTTAAGAGCAAAGAAAAATACAATTAAAGAAGAGAAAACTAAATCTAATATTCCTAATATTAGAATAATTTATTTGGTAATACTTAATTAATCATACCATAGTAATCTAGGTTCATATAATCTATAATATTAAACTCTACTTTAATTATCAAGATATTATTCTGGAACTAAAAATTATGAATAACTAAATAAAATAATTAGATTTATTGCTATAGTTGTCAAGAATAAGCAAAGCTCCCATAATTTTCCTTAAGAAGCAATAGCTCCAAATATTGGATTAATATTAAACAATATTCTTAAATATTCTTCATGTTTCATAGTTTTAATAATACTTTCAGATTTTGTCATTAGATAATTCAATTTAGTTTTTGCACTTGAACGATTGACTTCATCATGAAATTCAGTCTTTAAATCTTTAGGTAATTAATGACAATAAGGTAATTTTGGAAAGAAAACCTGATAAACTTTTTCATCTCTAACTATTTCAATAGAACATGAATTTTTCTTAAAAAATCTAATAGACGTTTTTAGTAATTCCTTATTCTTTTTTTTTTCTTCTAATTCTTAAGCTTCTTTTTCTTTTTTTCTATCTTCTTCACTTTTCATTGCATCTTCCATTCCTTATTTAAATTTTTGAAGTCCTCCTAAACCAACTTATAACATTTAACCTCCTAATTTAGAAATTCCACTAAATAATCCATTTTATTATTCATCTGCTCTATCAACATCAAATTCATTTAATATTTCTCTCATTTCTATATCCTCTTATAAAATATCCTTTCCTTTTTTACTAGCAACAAAGATTTACATTAAAATATAAATATAAAATCCAATTTCAATAACTAATTCATATTTTTCTTCATCTTCTGTTAAAAAAATTTATTATTCAGCTCTACCAAATAATTCTTCTTTATATTCATCTTTAAAATGTTACTAAAATAGTTAATATACTCTAGACATATTATTTGTCAACACTCTTATTGGAATAGCTCTAATTATTCTTAAAATTAAATTATCTTATAAATCACAACATTCTACTAATGAAACTAATGAAATTAAAGCTTTTAATTTTAATCTAGCTAGTTTAGCCAAATGTAATGTTAAATTATAAGGTTTAGACTAATCCATTATTTTATTTCTTTTGATTCCTTATTATTCTTTAGACTAACCCA